CCCGGGAGAGGGACCCGCGCCCCGGCGCGGCGGAGCCGAGCTTTGGCACGCAGCCGCCTCCGGCCCGGCTGGGCTTTGGGAGAGCGACCTCACCAGCCGCGACCCAGCGCCGGGTCGCTCAAAACCCCGCGGCCGCCTCTGCTTCGCTGGCGCTTTTCTGGCAGCCGCGGGGCTGCGCGGTGGAGCCACCTACACCTGAGGGGTTCCCCCTCTTCCCCGGGACGTGGCCATCTGCGGCTTCGCTTGTAAGAGCCGCCAAGTCCCCTATAGTCTGATCGATTCAATAGCACGGCTCATCATACCTCGACAGAAGTTTTGGGCTCTGAAAACAGGGAAAGACACATTTACACCTATTTTTCACCGCCAGACCATCACCTTTTTAGGTCTGTCTCGGCAGAGGGGCATTACGAGAGCAAGGGTGGAGCGCTGCTGCGGAGTCACCCTTTTTACTTACCTGAATCTCACCTGGGAGGCAGAGTGTGTTGCAAGCGCTACAAAATGTTCATACTTCTTTCTCTGCACTTTGAACTTGGATAACTTGAGAACGACTCCGTTTTAAAAACCAGCGTGATGGTATCTTAAGACCACCATGCTGCCTTCTGCAATGCATTTCAAAAATGCTGCACGTGCGGGGCTGCTCAGGGTTGCATCGTCACCAAAATGCTCCCTGAGAGGTATTTAGTCCATAATCTACTGATAGCAGCCAAACATCTGACTCACGGGGCGGCGTTATCTCTATATCTACACCTTAAAAGGTACAGGTAGGCTGATCTTTGTCATCTATCTAATTTCTCAGTGCTGACTTACCACAGAGAAGCATTTTGCTTGCGTTGCCGCTGTCATTTTCTCTGCCCTCCAGATGAGCGCCTCTAGACAGGGACTTCCAGCCCCCCGGGCACCCATCGAGCCCTCAGAGCCACCTGAGAACTATTCAGGGGCTTGTCCTGCAGCCTGCCCGTCACAGCCAGGGCTGCACCCGTGCTTCTGAGCCTCCTCACGGCAGTGGCCGTGGAGGAAAAGGACGTTCTGGAGGGTTTCTGCCTCACGTCTTGCAGAAGGCGATGTGCTGCTGAGGAATCACACGGGAGGTTGTGTTGTTACAGCCAGGTTGCAGCAGTCACATCAGGCAGAGCTGGGAAAGGAAGAGTGCAAGCCACAGGCAAGGAATTTATCATCTCCATTGTAACTCATCACTCATAGTTCCTCCTACGTCGGAATTGCCAGGTGATAAGTCTGCCGTAGGGTGATAAGTCTGGGCGTACCTGTGCAAGAGCATAGGGCAGGTTGAGGTCCACGAGCAGGAGGAGTCTTGAAAGGAGAAGACAGGACTGACTGGGGCAGAGGATGGCTCTGGAG